CATCAAGAACGGTCTAAAACAAGGAGATGCTTTGTCTCCCTTGCTCTTTAACTTTGCGCTAGAATACGCCATCAGGAAGGTCCAAGATAGGCAGGAGGGTTTGCAATTGAATGGGACACATCAGCTATTGGCATTTGCTGATGATGTTAATTTATTGGGGGACGACATAAATACAATAAAGAGGAACGCAGAAGGTTTACTAGAGGCTAGTAGACAGGTGGGCCTAGAAGTAAATTCAGAAAAAAAGTAAGTACATGTCAGTATCATCTCGTCAGTAGACAGGCGGGCAGAATTATCCTAGGGTGGATTTTGTGGCTAGCAAAAGTTCTCATCGTACACTTCTCATCTATTATTTTTACAGTAATTACATTAAGAAGAATAAAACAAATGGAACATTAAAATATTTGGAGACGTAGGAAATGCATATGCAGTTTTGATTGGAATACTTCATGGGATGAAATAGGAAACTTGATAGACCTAGATATTGATGTATGGATAATACTGGAATGTTGTTTATTATCCGAGTTGTGATGCTGTTTAGTCTTGTAGGTGGTAAGCCTACTCTTTTCCTTCACATGGTTTCCTTTTTGCCCCATTCCCATCAGCCACCTTCCTTCCATATAAACAACTCACAACCCCACTTTGACTCAATCCTAAACTCTGAAGATAGAGGCCGTAGTTTTCTCCAAAACGTAGGTTAGAATATCCTTACTGCTGCTGTTGGAACGTCATATCTCAAATACCGAAATGAATCTTAGAGAAATAGGTTTTTAGGAAATAACTGGACTGAGGTCAGTCATTGTACGGTGCAGTGGTAGAAGTGTACATCATTTTGGAGCAAATTTAATGTTGAATTTTTGCAGGCTGTGGGGGATTCTGGTGAGTCTCCACCAGGTTTAGCCCCACCACCAACGTCACCATCTTACCAGCAGCACCACGTGGTGCACCCCTCTCATCAACCTGCGCATCCTCCCCACCAGACAGTCACGCCTGCCGCCAGCCGGGAACTCGTTCAGTCAGACCTTAGCAGAACGGCAGGACGTGACCTCTTGGGGGCAGGTGGAAGAGATTTCTTCTCCAACATGAGCTCCGAGCTGAATGGCATTGCTGCTCAGACGTCAAGCATGTTCAGTGGTATCTTCAGCAAGCGGGACTTTGGTATGTTTTTATAGCTGTAGTTATAACTATTTTGATTCATACAGAGGCCTGCGTCACGTCTAATGTGTGGACGATAAAGAGTTGTGTTGCAGTGAAGCTCTGTTGACCAACCATGTCTAAAGTTTACTGTGCCACAGATCTGAGCAAACTTATCTGTTCACACACACATACTCTGTGTTTGTCATATGTGACTGGTAACAAGGGAAGGGCATAATTACAGTGACTAGAATAAATACTGCCACTTTATGTAATAATACACGGACATTCTTGCAGCAGTTGTAGCCAATGACAGTTGCATGCAGTGTGAGATGATGGGCCTTAATTGTGTACACACCCTTTCATTTTTCAGATTGTTACTGTGAAAACAGTGAGTTTATAGAAGTAATGAACAGAAAGATTTGTGTAGGGATAAAATGAGAAACATGTAGAAACTTCTCTGGAGTATAAAAGAAAAGAAAAGAAAAGAAAAATAAATGTATATAGCTCTCAGCAGTGGGCTGCTATATCTGTTAAAGCCAGACAGAATGTCAAAACAAGCAATGACCAGATTTAAATGATGTAGCCGAACATACCATTGATTAAATCTCTCTGCAGATGGACTCATTATTCAAGGTCATACTTGACCTCAGCATGGAAACTCAGACTTGATAGGGTCTTTTTTTTTGGTTATTTGAAAATGCTGATTAATCTTTGTAATTGGGATTTTAACTGAGGACGTGAACTCTTTAGGCAGTCTGCCTCGACAAGAGGGACTGCCACTTTGTAAAATGTCTCAGTCAGTCTCAAGTTTTGGCATTTGCAATTATTTATCTGATTCATGGAATTGTAACTGTCCTGACAACGATGATTCTTACGTCAGTGGTGGATTTCAAATAAACAGTGAGAGGGTCAAGAGGTGTATTGACAAGGCATTTACCGCGCACCTGCACTGGCATGATGGACAGTGCAGGTGCACAGGAATTGAGTTTGAATGAAGTTTCTTGTACTTTTTTATGTTAGTTAGCACACGGTACATTATCCAACCCTTCAACCATTCTCGTACACTTATGTCAGCCTAGACGCCTCGCCCAGGAAGAATGAATATGCGCTTTTCCCACACAGAGAATTTCTGTGCAGTTCACAAAGGTCGAAGATAAAATGCTGACAAATACGCAAGAATTGTAATGCTATGTGTACGTTCCCTAAGTTGTTGATATTGGTCTTCTGAGTAAAAATGCTGTGGTAGAATATCTTCCCAGAGGATCGGCACTGAGAACTTTACTGCCATGAGAACCTCAACTCATAATTCCTAACTTGTTTATGTCATGGCTTTAACCTGTATAATTTTGAGCATCTCCATATGAAAAATGTAGAACATAATCTTATGAGAATATCTGGATGTTTTGTCTGGTGTAGCGGAAAATTTGGCCCTCATCTGTCTTATTACGTACAAATAGTTCCTGATTGACATGGTTTCATCTAACACGATCATGAAAGTAGGGCTTGTTCCTAGTGTACTAAGTTGAACATGATTTCTGCAAGGCAGTGGTATATTTTGGTGAGTTCTGGAAAGGACAAGGCAAGTCCACCATGTCTTTGCATGTTTGTATTGTGCGTAAATAGTACAAGAACAATGAAGAAATGTGATCGTGTCTGTATTAACAGCTTATGTGAAGTGACACTTTCTACATCCATACAAATGGTGCGAGTTATATTAATGCTACTCCTTTTATGATTAAGCCAGTCGTCGAGGTAAGAGCTGCAATCAATCATACAGAACGTGAGAAGCATGCTTCAGACTTGGATTGAGAACCAAGTAGAGAGAAATTCATCTGATCGTCATTGCTTAAGTTCTTTTTGAAGACTCCTAGAAATAACTGACTTCATGTCCAGGGTCACTCATCATAGATAAAAATTGTTGGCTTTGGATCCGAGACCTTTCGACCAGGGTTAAGGACATTCATTCAAGTTCTGTTGGTTCTGTGCACAAGGTCATGTGTCTCAGGTTGCTTGTATTTTTCACTTGTTTCTTTCAAAACAGTTTTTCGTGATTTTATTTTTTGAATTAATATAAGACATTTATTCTTGTATAAAAACTTTCAAATTTATTAAAGAACTGATCTAATCATATTTTTGCAAATCGCACCTGAAAACAAAATTGCTTCTTTAAACATCAGATTTATCGATACTTTAGGTGAGCTGTTGATAGAAATTTTTATTTAACAATTGATTTGATGTTTCAAGAATGGCAGTAGCAGGCACATCCGAAGGAAGAGCTTACCTCTTTACCTTCGCTTTGAAATGAATAGACATTTTAGACCTTGTAGCAGAAGTTGTCTGTAGTGCCCACTTAGACAGACACACAACAGAGAAATGAAAATGTGTTAAAACTTGGCTAACAAAGTTTGTTGTAATTCAGGAATAATGTAACTGCACTTTTTATGACTGGTTGGTTACAGTCTGCTTTTGCGACATTCCTGATGCACTTGGCAAGTGAGAAGAGAAGGCACTGTCTACTCATGTTTGTCCTATTGCCTTATGCAGGCAGCAAGAGCGCTGTAAGGCCACGCAGCGTCAGTCCAAACCCCAGTAGTTCAGCCACAGTAGTAAGCGCCAGTGCTGCTGGCACGGCCAAGGCGAAGGAGAAGGCACAGCACTTTGGACCATTCCCCAAAGGCAGGAAAGGTCTGGTGGAGAAGTCATCTCTGATCCGTCACAGCCCCAGCAAGTCGAGGCAGGAGGAGCTGCAACGCATGCAAAGTGCTGAGCGATCCTCCACCAACTCAGAGAACCAGGCCTTTCTGAAGGATGTGAGTGCCAGTCTGTCTGATGTCTTGTCTCTAATAAGTTTCCCACATTTCCATCAGTTCATGATGGCCCACTTTATGCAATTTATTTCAAGACCAGATAAAGCATAATTTAAAATTAATTTGCCTGGGTAATGTACGTCACATGAATAATATCTGAAGTTTAAAGACGGTTATATTTTTGTCAAACCTAACTGTGGAAAAAATGCAGAATGTCCATGTGTAAGCACTTTCACGTAGCACATGTACGTAAGGTTCCAAAGTACACACCATATCATATCAAATTCTTTATGTTCATTTATAAGTGATGTAAATTTTGAAATGTGACAGTTAGAAGTAATTGTTTTGTGATAAGTAATCTCATTGTTTTAAATCTTGCATTGGATATCTGTCTGAAACAGGCTGAGTTCCCATACTTTAACGTCTTTGTGCTCAATCTTAGCAGCATTCATATGATGTAATTCTTAATGAATGCTGTAGTCGAGTGGTTAGCTATTCTGATTCGTATTTTGGAAGGTCTCAGGTTTAAATATGACATCATCTATCCTGACAGTTTTTATAGTTTTCCTCGGACTATCGCTGAAAAGTGGGATTAGTGTCTTAAAGGAGGTTGTGATGCTTCCTTGCACATCCTTTGCAGTTCATTATTTATGGTCAACCTAGTATTTTACACCAATGCAGCTGTAGAAACATTAAATAAGCAAGTAACTGACTTGTAAATGAATGTCATATATATCTTTAGAATCACGTGAATTCTCTTCAGTTAAAAACAAGTCTTGCTTCAGTTAGCAGCATTAAACATGTAAGTATTTTCTTAAACAAGAATAAAAAATGATTTCAAGTAATTAATTTCATTGCATTACAAACATAAATGTACCTCATACTGTGGCAGAGGTATTCATGTTTTCTGTCTGGAGTCTGAAATTATTTATGCACATGAATGAATAATAAACTATGTAGACACGAAGAAATTAAACAGCTAATTCTCTTACTAATCAGTCCGGTGTTATGGTGGCCAGGTTGTAAATCAAGTGCTTGAAGGAGAGGGCGTCGGTTGGCTGAAGCTCAGCCGTCTCAAGAAGCTCATGGAGGACGAAAGTTACCGAAACTTCGTAGTGAGCAAGCTGAATCGCACGCTGGAGCGAAAAATCAGCCCCGATGATCACATTGATGATGTGGTGAGTACGTCTGGTGATGTTCTAGATTTGTGGTGGTTTCTAGCAGTGCATGTACTTCTAGAGCCTTAGTTGAGACTCTCGTGGTCATGGCCGGACGTCAGTTTACAGTGGCTATAGCTTGGGTCTCAGATTTGAATTTTGGCTTGGAGACTCGCCATTCTGATTAATGATTTTCCTATTTTTCTTTACTTTCTCCAAATGGTGGCTGGAATCGCAAATTAATATGATGATTCTTTATTTAATTATCCTTCATTACTCTAATCCATTCTGTTATAAGTGAAGCTTTTGGTAGAAAGTTTTTAACTGAATTCAGAAACAAAGAATCTAAATATGTCAAGTTCAGGACTTGCCGGATGCAGTAGCAGTTTTTCCATTATTCCCCGGCTCTCACGTCTTGCAACGTAGGCAATACCAGACCCCAACATGAAGTCCTACCCTCACTTTCATCAGCGCATTGTCTGGTTAATGGGCTTAAATTTGACTCCGCTGCATTGTCAGTATACTGAATATATTAAGCTGGAGTTTAAGATTTATATTTATAGTAACTTAATCTAAATATTGGTATTGAAATTTGCTCTATACCTGATACAGTGGTTACACAGCTGTGATTTGTCAGAGTCACATCTGTGAAAACAGGGTGCACCACTTGAAGTTCGTGAGACTTTATGTTGCGTACAGCCCTGGTTAACACCGTTTGAGTAGGTAGAATACTATGTTATGGACACTCGAATCTCGTAAGTAAATTCCTTTACCCATATGAGTTGTCTGCGTGCTAGAAAGGTTAGAAGATTGTCACTGTATGGACTGAAAATACGAAGTAAGCAGTTCGTACATTGTAATGAATCATGGTGACTACCTGAAATCACTGTTTGGGATGGAAGGTATTAGTGGCTCATTTCTCCTCCCTATGACTCCGTGTTTCCAGTGTGTTAGCCGAGCAGTGTGGAAGGGAATGCTAAAGACGCTGCAGGCAGTGATATACGGGCTTGAGCAGACGTACTCCAACTTCGGCTTGGGCGGCA